AGCACAAAAAATTAGAATTAATTGACCTCCCAAAATTTAATTTACAAAAGAGCAACTTTGCTTAGAACCCTATATATCATGGTGGAGTATTAAGACTTCAGAAGAAAGCTTGCCTTGATCGTAAATCACCACCATTTGGTGAGGAGAAATAGCCATAATGGGATAAAAATGCCAAATCCACTCTAAACATCTGGCTGGCTGTGCAACCATCCACAACAATATCATTATAAAACAAGAAAGATTATTCTCCTCATGATGTATTTGCCTTACAGTGGCCAAGACAAAAAGCGTGTGGCTCAATTTTTAATTTTCTATATTTTCTTTGGTTGGAAAAAAAATTTAGGGGGTCACTGAAGCAAACAAGGGTGTTTGGATTCAAACATTATTATCCTATTTCTGCTCCACACTGGGTTTTTTATTCTGCGGAAACATCTGGTGTGCGTGTTTTAAATTTCCATCAGTGCCACAGAGGTCTCTTTAGAGGATAAACAGCCCTTTATAGGCTGAATATTGCATTTTTAAAATATTCTGTAAGCTATTGAGGGACAGCTACAGGAACCCATAATGTAAATGATTACATTGGACTACACAAATATGGATTTGTGTAGCTGACAGTAAAATAGCAGAAGGCCTTCCTTTGTGTTGGAAGAAAGGAATATTACATCCTTTAATATAAAAATATATTGTCTGTTGTCATTAATATTGACACAGCATCAAAGTGGCGGTGAACGTAGTTTAATATTCCCTTTGCAGTTCATCAATGGCTGAATAAGACAAGCAGAGAAGAGAAATCAGAAAAAAGGGGAAACAAATCCTAGTTAAATCCTACATTTTAATTTTATTTCTACATCCAACATGGAACTAGAGAGTTTTGTTAAGCTCCAGATAAGGAAGAACAGGAGAGTCCAATGATATTAGGTTCACTTGTTTGAGAATTCTCACAATACAGGTTATCCTCGACTTACAATCATTTGCTTAGCGACCGCCCAGTTACAATGGCACTGAGAACAGTGACTTATGACGTAAGGTCCTTGCATATACGACGGTTGCAGCATCCCCATGATCAAAATTAGTGTGCTTGGCAATTGCCACGTGCTTATGACAATTGCAGCCCCCTGGGATTACCATTTGCCCCAGCTTCCAACTAGCAAAGGGATTGGGGGACACTGGACCTGTTTAATGACCCTGTGATTCACTTAACAACTGTAGTGATTTGAATAACAATCAGGGCAAAATAGGTCATCCAATTGGGCACTACCATCACCTTTTGCTCCCAATTGTGGTCGTAACTTGAGGATTATCTGTAGGGTTTCCTGCCTGAGCAGGGGGTTGGACTCGATGACCTCCAAGGTCCCTTCCAACTTTTTTTTTTTTTTTATTATTATTATTATTATTATTATTATTATTATTATTATTATTATTATTATTATTATTATTATTATTATTATTATTATTATTATTATTATTATTATTATTATTATTACTATGAAGAAGAACAGTTTCTCACACTGAAAACAACAATCCAACTAAGCACAAACCAAGCTTTGCGAACGTAGCTACTAGAGCTTGAAGTGACATGGATAAAAAGGTGGATTGCAGCCATAGATCTGAGGATGGTTCTGGGAGGTTATCTAGTCTAACCCACACTCAAGAAAAGAAATCCAGAGTTGCAGCACTGGGTGCACAGGACAATTTTATGTCTCCCTGCTACTTGCAGATACTCATCCTGCTACAACATACAATTCTACCAGATCACAACAACTTAATGCAATTAAAATCCATCAGAGGAAAGCTTGTGTCTCGAACCAGCCTTTAATGAGTATTTAACGTTAGTTGGAAGTGCTTGTACTGTGATCAAATACTAATCGTAAACCAATTTTTATGCGTGTTTTTGTATTAAATTAAATGTTTTTATCACTTTTTATAGTTCTTTTTAGGTTTTTGTTATCTCTCTATCTACCTATCCATCTACCTATCCATCTACCTATCCATCTATCCGTCCGTCCGTCCGTCCGTCCATCCATCCATCCATCCATCCATCCATCCATCCATCCATCCATCCATCCATCCATCCATCTATCTATCTATCTATCTATCTATCTATCTATCTATCTATCTATCTATCTATCTATCTCTACGAGTGTGTGCATTTGTGAGTGTATTAGTTTTTAAAATGTTTTTAACCTAGTGTATTTTATAGCATTTAGCTTTTTAACTTCTAAAATTACTGTATAATTATTTTGATTGCGAGCCACCCAGAGTTCACAGAAGATGGGCATCTTTATAAATGTTTTAAATAAATAAATATTTCTTATGGTGGTCTATGACCATAATAAAGATGTAGACTTGATGTGAGTCTTTCAGCATCTCTTCCAAGTGGCTTGGTTGGTCAATGTTTGCCTTGGTTGGTCAATGTTGGACAAGAGAGAAACCATGACCCTCTAGGTAGGGGTATCACTTGCTGGTCCTGCTTTGACCATCCCAACGTTCCTGCTAATCGTCCACTCGAGTCTTCCCCTTCTAATGTACCCTGTTGATTTTGGTCTGTCCTAGGATCAGAGGTGGAAAAAAAACTTGGCTCTCCTCTGGAGGACAGTCCGGAAAGAACCTGAAAAGTCATCCCAGCTCCACGAAACATCTGGACTCTCCTGCTCCAAAAATCTTGCATCGACAAAGTAGAGTTGGTGCATCTGAAGAGGAGGAGGAGGAGGAGGAGGAGGAGGAGGAGGAGGAAGAGGAAGAAAAGGAGTGAATTCACCAAGTTGCAAAATCAATGATAACAACAGGGAATGGCTTCCCATCCAACTGCACAGATAGATGGTCACTGGTCACCAGATAACTTTTCTACTAAGAGCTTCATCAAGAAGCCTCCAGGAACCAGGTAAGATTTATTGGATGGGAAATTGTGTGTGTCTGTATGACATTAAAACCATTTTCCCAACAGCCTTTGTAATGGGAGAAGCGAAGAAGAAGAAATGGCGATTGCATCATCTCTGTTGAAAGAACCACCAGTTTTGCTCTCCTAAAGTTGTCCATTGTTGTATGCCTACCTGGGCTCTTTCCATCTCAAATCATCACGTGAAGAACCATAGATGGGTTTTTGTTTTCCCTCCCCACCTCCTTTTCTTTCCTGCTATGTCTTTTAGCTTGTAAAATCAAAGTTTAGTTCTGCTTTACTGCTTAGGTCTGTAAACTACCCTGAAAGTCTTTGGAGCAAAAATATATCAAGGAATATATAAATAAGATGATAATGTATGAAGAACAAGTAACCCACGTGTTATGAATCACTTAACTATCATTTCTTGAAATGTTACCAGGTCAGATGTTGGTAATATGGTATAAATAATCAATTCAGGGGATTATGGTTTGGTTTGATGTTTTCGATCGATTTGCCAAATCCAATCCAATGCTGAAATTTGATTCAATTTGATCAGATTGCTGATGAATCAATCCTGATGTTTTCAAAGAACTAACTAACTAACACTTAGTTATAAATGACTTGAGCAAAATAGAGGAAGGATATCCAGTAAATAAATGACACTCAACATGTCTTAAATTCCTTTGTCATATTGGTAAATCTAGCTAGGAACAGCTAGAAAGAACTGTAAGAAGAAGAAAAAAACAAGCATAAAATGTCAGCTGACAAAGTTATTTACTCTTTGTGAATTCCTGAGACAGAAGACTTTCCAGAAATGGATAATTGATATAAAAAAATAGAATAATTGAAAAGAGTCTACAGAGATCTCAAAATCTGGAGGATAAGCTTTATTTACATTCATTTACCCGCGGAAAGCATATATTCATACAAGTGTTTGAAGTGGAATTATTTCACATTGTTATCTTGGGTAATCTGTCACACATGAAGTCTTGAATTATTTAAGCACATAATAATTCTATATTTTTTTTCTAAAACGTTGAAGGAAATGTTTGCAGAAGCTATTTCGGTTCTTTTTTGTGCGGTTTGCTTAGATCTGGTAAAATCAAACGAATATCCTTCATTAGCCTTTTTTTTTAAAAAAAATATCTCTTTACCATATTAACTTCTTATAATATGGAATAGATTTATGTTTTAGTAAACCTCTGGGGTTGGTAACCTTAGATAACATGTGTCCAGAGAAAATTTTGACATGGAAATCGGGCCATTTTAAATGTGCCCAATAAAGGATAACTTACAGAAAACAAATTCTCATGTTTTAGACAAGAAAACTCATGGGTTTTCTATGGAGGATATGAATTCTAAATTAGTTTTAATAATAACAATACAACTTGGTATAGGGAGAAAATAATCATCCCGTTCATGCATTGATTGTCTTTTGTTTTCCTCTGACAAGTGACTATTTTGATGAATATAGTAAATGCCGAATGCAATTGTGTCTTCTGCTCCCCAGATGTTGGTTGAAATGGATTTATTGAGTACTGCAAGCCATCCTAGCTTGATGAGGTTAATCTCTGATTGATGTGTTGCCCCAGGTTTACTATTGCTGACCAATTAAATCTTATAAACAGGAATATAGCATTGGTCAAGCATGATTGCAGCAACAGAAATGCAGCACAACACACCCCAATGTCTACAGAAATTCTCAATCATTCAGGTCATGGTTGTTCCAAAGAAAGGACTTCCTTTCTTTTTCCTTGAAGACAATTCACTTCTCATCCAAGAAGCTTCTCCAGTTTCGAGGAAAGAAAAACAAAGAAAGTCAAGTTGCCTGTTGAAAAAGCATCTTTGGAACAACACACCCCAAGATATATCCAAGCATATATATGTCTGTGCAGTACAAATATACACACACAAATCTCTTCCCCACCTGTTGTTCTTCAAATCCTGGTCATGCTGGTTGAGATGATAGACACTGTAATTCAAATATTTGGACTTTTTTGTGCTATAACTCTGAATAGTCAATTTGACCTTTATGTTGGCCACCTCATCATCAGCCTTAAGTTTCAATTTCACTGCATATTTCATTGTGGATTGCTAAATCTGAAGACTGTTTCCAAGAGATTCAAGGTCTGAGAAGGCTGTTCAGGTGAATTCTCCTCTTTATTGCCCTCAGGATTTCTTTGTTTCGAAGGCTGTAAATTATAGGATTGACTAATGGAGTCAGGACAGCGTAGATGACGGCAAATGCTCTGTCGTACTCTAAGGAGTAGCTTGTCTTCAGTCTCACATACATGAAGATGATGCTTCCAAAAAAAAGGAGAACTACTGTCAAATGGGAGGCACAGGTTGAGAAAACTTTCTCACGGCTCTCGGCGGTCTGGATCTTCAACACCATTTGGATGATCTTCACGTAGGAGGCCATGATGAACAAGAAAGTCACTAGGATGATGAAAGCGTTGACCACAAAGTCAACCAGGACGTTGACTGAGGTGTCCGTACAAGCCAAGCTCAGCAGTGGCGGGAAGTCACAGAAGATGTGCTGGATCTGGTTGGGGCCACAAAAAGGTAGCTTGGAGACCAGGATGACTTCTGTGATGGGGCACGTGAAACCACAGATCCAGCAGCTGGTGGCCATCTGTACACACATTTTGGTTGTCATTACAGAAGGGTATCTCAGGGGCTTACAAATGGCGAGGTACCTGTCATAGGCCATGGCGGTAAGCAAGTAGCACTCAGTGGCTCCAAGAGAGTGGAAAAAGTATGTCTGAAGAAGGCACCCTGTGAAGGATATGCTTTTTCTTTTACTAACTAGGTTGGACAGCATCTTGGGAATGGTGGTTGCTGTGTACCAGATCTCCAAGAAGGAAAGAATGCTGATGAAGAAGTACATGGGTGTTTGAAGCTGGCAATCTATGCGGATGACCATGAAAACCAACAGATTACCGAAGATGGTGAAGAGGTAGACAGTGAGGAGCAAAATGAAAAGGAGAGTCCGGAGGTGCTGAAGATGAGGGAATCCCACAATGATGAATTCAACGACTTTGGTATAGTTGTGGCCTTCCATGTTTCCCGTGGCTCCCTCTGTGTAGCAATGGGATCTGCAGGATTACAGGGACAACTCAACCACAAAAGCAGAACTAGACAAGTTATTGGTAAGGCCACATTTGGAATACTGCATCCAGTTTTGGTCACCACGATGTAAAAAAGATGTTGAGACTCTGGAAAGAGTGCAAAGAAGAGCAACAAAGATGATCAGGGAACTGGAGGCTAAAACACACAAGGAATGGTTGCTGGAATTGGGTATGTCTAGTAAGGACTAGAGGTGACATGACAGCAGTCTTCCAATATCTGAGGGGCTGCCCCAAAGAAGAGGGAGTCAAGCTGTTCTCTAAAGCACCTAAAGGCAGGACAAGAAGCAACGGATGGAAATTAATCAAGGAGAGAAGCAACCTGGAAATAAGGAGAAACTTCCTGACAGTTAGAATAATTAACCAGTGGAACAACCTGCCTCCAGAAGCGGTGAATGCTCCAACACTGGAAGTTTTAAAGAAGAGACTGGACAGCAATTTGTACAAAATGGTATAGGGTTTCCTGCCTGAGCAGGGGGTTGGACTAGATGACCTCCAAGGTCCCTTCCAACTTTATTATTATTATTTCGAAAGTGGCAAAAACGCAGGTCTTCCAAACCCACATTTAAGCTACCTTTTGACCATTGGCACAATCAGAGAAGAAGCTTAGGACCGACATTGAGGTCCTCATTTTGAGGATCATCCCCTCCAAACTTGGCAAAATTGGCTTATCATTTTTTTTTAAAAAAAACCCACGAATTAATATGCATAAGAGAATAAGGTTGCTAAATCCGGCTGACCTAACTGACCTCAAAGTATCCTACTACACCTTTGTACAGCAAAAAAGAAAAACCGAGGGATTTTCCTAACATGTTTGGGAGAAAGAACAAGCTTACATCGATGGAAATATATGAACCCCCATTGCACTATTATTTCCAAGATGTTTTTAAAAAAATGACAAGTGTTTTTGGTATTTATCGGCGTTAAAGCCAAGATAGGCGGAATTTACACTTGTAAAATCTAGTTTTGCTTTGTCTTTTTCTCTCCCGAGCTTTGGTATAAAAGAGGTTCATTGAGAAGGGAAGCATTTTCTACACAGGAATTTTATGAACAGAACTGGAAGAGCTCACAACGTGTGTACACTAATATTCATTCTTAATTCAGTTTCTTTCCTTCTAAAATATGTCTGGAAGGCTGGGGGGTGCCATAAACCCCTTGTTGATTTCCGGCAATGCCCAGTTGTAATTGCTGTACCTCACTTGCTTTAAAAAAAAAAGGCAAAAATTATGCACTTTAATTGCAGAATGGTCTACCTCCAGCAGCTAAATCACATCTTTCCCTAGAAGAGTAGAAGCGATAGGATTATTATTATTATTATTTTGTCCTATGTTGGAAGAACTTCAGCTACCCTATTACTTATCTTGCAATTCCAGCTTTGAGAAACTGAAACAGACATATCAGAAGCAGAACTGAGAAGATGTTCGGACAGGTGAAACCAATTTTGTAATATGTTGTACGGTACCCTTTCCAGAAAATCTGATTCCAGATAAAACTGCAAGGAGGAAAAGAAGGAAGTGAAAATAAGTAGCTAGGCTTTCAAAGGAAGGGTGTCTGGCATGTTGCTAAATGAATTACCCCCTGTGAGTTCTTTCTTTAATAATCTTCAAAGGAAGTTGTTAATTAGCAAAAAGAAATAACTTACCACCACCCAAACTTCATACTTCTACAAAGGTGATGAAAAGTTCTGAGCGATATATATTTATTCCTGTTTAAAGATCGCCCGCCTTAAACATTGGGACAATGAGAAGAGTTAGAGACTGTATTTCTATCTTCTTTTATGGTAGATCAAATCTGGAAATTATCCTGGGATTTCCATTTATGTCTTCAGGGGGAAAAAGGGGGCTTGTTTTTTTCTTACCCCTGATTGGGTCCTTTGGGTTTTTAGAAGAAAACAATTTTTCTCCCAGCACAGCACTAAGTAGGTTTCTCAGTGGTTCCTCCATCCAGCTTGAAGAAACCAACAAATAATAGACATGTTACAATTCTGGTCTAAATTTGGTCTTAATTCAAATATAGAGACATATGTATATATGTTTAAATGTCATGTGCCATAGGTCTGCTCTTCTACATAAGAAGCTAAAGTTGAAAGAGGCTCACTGCATTTAAATTGTTTCTGAAGTTGGTGGAGAAATTGCTATCATGTCTATGTTTGTGCCCAAACTGAACTTTCTGTATCTATCTGGAACACAGATAAATTGATGTTTGTATCTTCTTCTTCTTCTTCTTCTTCTTCTTCTTCTTCTTCTTCTTCTTCTTCTTCTTCTTCTTCTTCTTCTTCTTCTTCTTCTTCTTCTTCTTCTTCTTCTTCTTCTTCTTCTTCTTCTTCTTCTTCTTCTTCTTCTTCTTCTTCTTCTTCTTCTTCTTCTTCTTCTTCTTCTTCTTCTTCTTCTTCTTCTTCTTCTNCTTCTCCTTCTCCTTCTCCTTCTCCTTCTCCTTCTCCTTCTCCTTCTCCTTCTCCTTCTCCTCCTCCTCCTCCTCCTCCTCCTCCTCCTCCTCCTCCTCCTCCTTTGTCTCATTCTCCTTCATCTCCTTGTCTCTTCCTTCATCTTCTTCATTGTCTCCTCCTTCTCTTTCTCCTCCTCTTTCATCCTCTCCTTCACTCCTTGTCTCCTCCTCCTCCTTCATCTTCTTCTTTGTCTCCTCCTCCTCCTCCTTCTCCATCTCCTCCTCCTCTTTCATCTCCTTCTCCTTCACTCCTTGTTTCTTCCTCTTCCTTCCTCTTCTTCTTTGTCTCCTCCTCGTCCTCCTCCTTCTCCTCCGCTACCGCCACATATACTGAAGGGAATTTTTGTTCTTAGACAGACAAATACTTATCTTAGGAGAAAATGAAAGGAATCCCGCACTAAATTTGGAGGCTGATATGAAAATAAGCACGGATATTTTTTGCAGGTGTCGGTAAAGAATTGCAAATAGATGCAGAATTGAGATGGAGCTCGAAAAGATGGGAAATGAAATGAAGTAAAACCTAGAGGTCCATCCATCTCTAGTTGCTGCCGACCCAGTAAATAATTGTTGTCGAAGAGTTGCAAAAGTTTGAAAACCACCATTCAAAACAATGAAATCAGTGCCAGCCCCACCATTTGGTAGCTGCTATGTTGTGGCAAAATGCTTGAGAATAGAGTTAGGTGTGATGTGAAATTTGTTGTGTTCCTCCTAAGGCAGCTTGATGACTTTAGGACAGGGGTCTTCAAACTTGGCCCTTTTATGACTTGTGGACTTCAGCTCTCAGAATTCCTCAGCCAGGCATGCGTGTCTGGCTGAGGAATTCTGGGAGTTGAAGCCCACAAGTCATAAAAGGGCCAAGTTTGAAGACCCCTGCTTTAGGACATTGTCCCATCTCCACTGTGATTTCTGTCAACTACCAGGAATGCCGTTTTGGATGTGTGTGTGTGAAAAGGGATAGAACCAAAACATAAATACTAAAGCTATTTATCCAGTTGGATATATAGGAAAGAAAAGAACCATCTCCTCCTCTTCTTCAAGTATCAAAATGCTTGAGCTGATTTTTCAGGAAGGAATCAACTATTGCAATCGTGGAATAGTGGAATTATTGCAATAATTCCAAAGATATAAATGAGACATTTCTGTGTTATAAAACAAGCTTAATCAAAGCAGCTAACATTTAGGAATTGCATCTGCATACCCTGCAATGGACAGTGAATATTAACCTTGCTTTGTTGGAATGCTTAAATGTAAAACCAGTACACTCAAATGGAGGCTCTTAGCAGATAAAAACATGCTGTGTGAATGTGGAGAGATGCAGAGCCCAGCCCATCTGTTAGTATGTTGGCTACTATCTGAAATATGTACCAATAATATCTTAATTTTGGCCAATGACAAAACCGAGAAGTTGGCTTCATTTTGGCAGTTTGAAGTTTGATCCAGTCAGGGAAGGAGGAGGAGGAGGAGGAGGAGGAGGAGGAGGAGGAGGAGGAGACCTTGGTTTGTGTTGTAGCTGAACACATTGTCTATTTGGTTAGTTGTACAAACCCACAAAGTGGACAAATTCAAGAACCAGAATTAGAGGCATTGTGGGTGAATAGGTTTGTTGAAAACTCCTTAGTGTCAAAAGCGCAGAAATCATATCATCAAACTACAATTGGTAGGAACCAGTGGTGGGATTCAGCCGGTTCTCACCAGTTCGGCAGAACCGGTAGCTAATTTTTTGTTGCCCAGGCCCAGAACGGACTCCCGGAAGCGGCATCCACACAGAGAACCGGTTGTTCACCTATCTGAATCCTACGACTGGTAGGACCTCTTTGTCTGAACCCCCACCCCCAAATCCTCTTTCTTCCCAGTAGAGCTTCTGTTGCATTCTTCATTAACAAACACCTATGGGATGTCTTCTCTTAATGAGTTTGTTTTCATTGTCCTCTCTCTTCCTCCAGGGGAAGCCAAAGTTGCAGCACCACCCGCATTTGGGACTGATGTGTTAAGGGGTTTGTTTGTAAGGAAACAAGGGAAATGAACTTTGGTTTCAACTCTCTGTTTGAAAAGAGGAGGCCCAGCAGGGCTCCCTTCCATCCCCCATGGACTAATTAACTCAACCCAATTAACATGGCGAAGAAAGAGAAGCAAAACGTTTCAGAGAGAGGAGTTAGGAAAAGTTCGCAGAAGGAAGAGATAGATTGCCACCTGCGGCATTTCATTCATTGGCAGGAGTGCTAATGGTTGGTGAAGCAATCCATGGAAGAAGCCCATAGCCTCCTACCCCCTCAGATGGTGCTTCTCCTCCTTTTGACCTCCTTTCCTATTTGTCTTTCTTTGAAAATATGCCATGAAATACATAACTCATGGACTGATGACCATGTATGGTGCAAGGGTCTACAACTTTTTCATCCCCTCGAAATATGGCTTTGCTCCAATACTGGAGGTTTCTAAGAAGTGATTTGACAACCAATTTGTCTGAAATAGTCTAGGGTCTCCTGCTTGATCA